AATCCTCCTTTTTTAAGAAAAAAGAAGTTTGGATAAGAAATGGCCACCTCATCAATCCAGCAATCCTCCTTCGCCGGCCAAACCGCCCTCAAGCCCTCCAACGACCTACTCCACAAGGTCGGCGTCTCCGGCGGTGGCCGCGTCACCATGCGCCGTACCGTCAAGTCCACTCCTCAGAGCATCTGGTAACTAATCAAATCTCTCTCTTATATAGTTAATTATCCTTCATTTTGAGATGTGTCTAAACACCAAACACGGATTAATTTGTGTAACAGGTATGGACCAGACCGTCCCAAGTACTTGGGACCGTTCTCGGAGAACACACCATCGTACCTGACCGGGGAATACCCTGGAGACTACGGCTGGGACACCGCCGGACTCTCGGCTGACCCGGAGACATTCGCCAAGAACCGTGAGCTTGAAGTTATCCACAGCAGATGGGCAATGTTGGGAGCTCTAGGATGCACATTCCCTGAGATTCTCTCCAAGAACGGTGTCAAATTCGGAGAAGCCGTGTGGTTCAAGGCAGGGTCTCAGATCTTCTCAGAAGGAGGTCTTGATTACCTTGGAAACCCTAACTTGATCCACGCGCAAAGCATCTTAGCCATCTGGGCTTGTCAGGTTGTGCTCATGGGATTCATCGAAGGCTACAGAATCGGAGGTGGACCACTCGGAGAAGGACTTGACCCGCTTTACCCGGGAGGTGCGTTCGACCCATTGAATCTGGCAGAGGACCCAGAAGCCTTCTCTGAGCTGAAGGTGAAAGAGCTCAAGAACGGTCGTCTTGCAATGTTCTCCATGTTTGGATTCTTTGTTCAAGCCATTGTTACTGGTAAAGGTCCAATCGAGAACCTTTTCGATCACTTGGCTGATCCTGTCGCTAACAACGCATGGTCTTACGCTACTAACTTTGTCCCCGGAAAGTAATTATCATCTGGACTTGTTTCATAATCTCTCTGCTTTGTAAAACCGTTAATGTAATATTCCTGTGTTTATATGAATTTGGTACTTAATCAAGTTTCTTTTGTCAGTACTGGGTTTTTTCATTGATTGCATATCTGGCAAGTGCTAAAATTACATAAGAGGTTCACATATGTCGAATATCTATCTTGTAGACATATATAAACCAAACACAAGCAACGTCCGAATAATGGTTCACAAAATTTAGGTATAAGAATGTTACAGGATAAAGCAATATTTCGGTTAACTATTTTGGTTAAGTCATTTAACCGGTTTATCGGTTTGGTACAATCACAAACAATATTTGTAAGCCTTCACGCCAATTGGGAACAATCAATCAAACAAACAATTATCTTCTTTAATCTCTCTCTCTATCTCACGATC